TTTATTCTGAAATTCAGCTTCATTGTGATTGAGACAATGTGCAAGGTCCAGCCCCCAGGGGAGAGCAGCTCTAATTTTGGCACAGTCTAAGAGACCCTTCTACACTGGTCAGAATTACCTGCTTCTGAGCTTCCTCTCCCCCTTGCTGCTGATGCACTTGGGAGGGTCCTGCTCCTAAAGCTAAGGCCACCAGGAATCCCACCACCTTCTCCCACTACCAGGATCTTCAGCCTTCCCGTCACTTCTTTTATCAACACTTAAGCGTATGTATGACTCTTCTATCTTAAAAACATTTTAAAATCCCGGAAACCAAACAAGAACTCCCCAGTCCTGTTACCCCACACCCTGAGGCCTAAGTCCCTCTTCCATCCACCATGGCACTGCTGGGAAGAGCTGGCTGCCTCCTGCCCTCCCTCTCTGTCTTCTCCCTCTCCTCCTTCTCATTGCCACCCTCCTCTCCCCTCTCCAGGAGGCAGTGCTTGCCAGGTCCCAGCAGCCCAACAGCCACTTCTCTGACCTGAGGAACCACAGCACTGGAATGGTGACCCCTCCCTGGGACTCAGAGCACTGTATCATCATGGGTCAAGGATGCACACATCACCAGCCTCTTTCCCACCTCTCTGGCCACCCCACCATCCTCCCATCTCATAGATGCCACTATTGTTGGGCCACTTGCTCTGGCCATCCACAGGTGACCAAGGAGTCATCCTTGAGCTTTCCTTCTCCCCTGACTCGGATCCTGGAACAAGTCCTGCGTTCAGTGTCAGTTTAGAATCCACCCTTTTCTCTGTCCTTCCTCTGCCTGCAGCACCCTGGTCTCAGGCACCCAGTCTCTCACCTGGGACCCCACGGTAGCCACTTGGCTGACCTCCCTGCCTCCACTCTAGCCCATGCAGCAGCCAGAGGGATTCTGTACATGTAAATCACGTCACAGAACCCTCCCCCTTTTCCACACGTCTAGTCATCCTTGATCACCCTTAGGTGAGGGTTACATACATGTCACTTCCTCACAAACCCTCCGTGAACCCCACACCTGGGCCAGGTGCCTTTCCTCATTTGGATTCTCCTCCCCAGAGCCCTCAGTCTACTGTGCCCTAACTCTTCTGAGTCCCCCTGGCTCCTTGAGCTCAGTGAGGTCAGGGACTGTGTCTGTCCTTTGACTTTGTCCTAAGTACACAGCACCCAGTAAACATTCCACAAGCAACGAGAGTGCAACATGTCTCCCACGTTTCTAGACATGTTGTATGAACAGTTCAGGGAACAAAAAGCAAAAAAAGGAAATTAAGGTAAAATTCTGGTAATTACACTATTGAAAGAAGTGCCCACAAGGGTAAGAAACATTTTTAAAATGGCAGGGTTTCTGAACCATTTTATTCTCTGGGAAAATGTCGGCTGATGGCAAAAGTGAAACTATCCTTGTGTTTGTTCAAACTCTGGCGTCCCAAAGCTGCAGGTTTTAGCTGTGGGCTGGGTGCATGCCAGAGCTTGGGCTATGCTGCGCGCAGGTGGAGGGAGGCCTGATGCCCGGGGCTTCGAAGGACAATCCTGAAGGCCAGGACAAAGGTGGCGAAGGGGGGTGACTAGCTCAGTTTCCCTCAGGTGTTTACAGCTATAGAAGGGAAGTAAAAGTCGGTAGAGTTTTCTAGAAAAGGAAAGCGAAAGAGGCAAAGTCAACCGCCCAAAATTGGAGGGGCGGGGTGGGATGGGCGGTCCAGGAGTCAGGGCGGAGGGACTCGTAGCTGAGCCTAGGATGGCTGAGTCCGGCTCCTTCCCGCTGCTGGTCCAGGGGTCTTGGGGCCCCGACCCCCCGAAGAACTTGCGTGCCGAGTTGCAGATGTACTTCCAGAGCCCAAAGAGATCGGGCGGCGGGGAGTGTGAGGTCCGGCAGGACCCGGGGAGCCCATCCGGCTTCCTGGTTCTCTTCCACCCGGAGGACGGTGAGGGGCGCCGCGGGGCGGGGAGAGGAGGGGGGACGACCCTGCCCTCCCTCCAAGGACCCGGGCTGGGACTCTGCCCCGGCCTCGCGGCGGGAGGATCCGTCCGGCTACTGCAACCCAAGGGAGATGCCGGGGTGCGGGGCCGAGCGGACTCAGAGCGCACCCCGGGCGCTGCGTTTCCTGGCGCGTCTCCGCCCTGCCTGGAGGTGGCGGCGGAACGGCACCAGCGAGCCTCCCTCTTTGGGTTCTTTTCTCTGTTGTTGATGTTTTTGGTCAAGGAAAGTGGTTAAGAAACACAAGCAGTCAGGGGGATTCCTCATGGTTCTTGGAGATTCCCGATGTCCTGGGGTCCCCTGGGTGATCGGTAGAGGCACTGCCTAAATCGCACGGCGTGGCTGTACATACAGAGCCATCTTCTATATCTAGGCCCACAGAGGAAGGGAGCCGCAGCTATGTACCTGGGCACATAGCGTCCTGGTTGAGAACCTGCCGCCGCCTCTTCTCGCCTTCTCAGGGTGGCCCCTTAGGGTAGGGTGACCAGACGTCCCGCTTTTGGCGGGACAGTCCCGATTTTTAAACAATTTGCCCCGCGTCCCGCGGCGTTTTAAAAAAGTCCCGATTTTAGGAAAGAATGAACGAACGGGCGGGAGAACAGTAAGGGAATATACGGTTTTTGGCTGCCATGTGGCTATTTCGCCAGGATATGAGTTTTATATTATTTTTGTTAATTTTATAATGTTAAACTGTAATAATAACAAATAATTGCTGAGAAGTGATTATGGAGAACTGCTTATCAAAGTTTGCATTGTTGTCAGGCCCCGCCTCCATCCCCCTCCCCCCCCAATGGTGTCCCACTTTACCAATGTTAAAATCTGGTCACCTTACCTTAGGACTTACCATGAAACCATCTGCCCTCCTCACAACGAGTGAGATTAGAAACTGGCTCTGACCTACATCCTTGGGCCTTACCAGGACCATGACATCAGAATGCAACGTGGTAACCCAACATTCATGCCACAGCCAGCTCTGGGAGCAGCAGGGCACTCCAGGAAGTTCCCTTTGCACCATCTGACTCTGTTGACCACGCCTCCTCCTTTAAACTCACTCACTCCTGGTTCTCCAAAGTATGGGATACAATGCTGCTCATTTTTATGTCTGTGGCTGCTCCTTCTTATAATTTACATTTTAAAAGCTCTGCAGGGTGTTAGCAAGTGCATTCACAGACTTCATTCAAGTGAGGAAACTGAGGCTCCTGGCAGAGTTGGAATTTGAATCTAGGTCTTTGGACTCTTATGTGCAGGGTTCAGTTGCTTCACTACAGTCTCTCCGTTTCCTTGTTTCTACCCCCTCCAGATGTGACACCCTTATCATTACAAGCTCAGGAACTGATTGAAAGGGCTTTCTAAGGAGGCCACTGGTGATTCTCTTGGCCGCCTGAGTTGCCTTCCTAAACGATGGCTTTCATCCTGCCCTTCCCCAGCACCCGGTCTTCACTGGCTGTCCCTGGGGTGTTTTACTTCCGTTCACTTTCATGTAGAATAAATAACGCTACCTTTTTGAGTGCCTGCCGAGTGTCAGGTTTTTTGTAATGTTTCTTCAATTTAATATTATACATATAGCATGTCTACAAAACAATCTCAAACAACCTTATTAAAAGACAAGAAGACCAAAGCTTTGTAAGTAAAGGGTAGTAGGCCTGGTGCGGTGGCTTAGGCCTGTAATCCCAGCTCTTTGGGAGGTAGAGGTGGGTGTATCTTCTGAACTCAGGAGTTCAAGACCAGCCTGAGCAACAGCGAGACCCTATCTCTAAAAAATAGTCAGCCGTTGTGGCAGGGGCCTGTTGTCCCAGCTGCTTAGAAAGCTTAGGCAAGAGGATCACTGGAGCCCAAGAGTTTGAGGTTGCTATGAGGCCAAGGCACTCCACCAAGGGCAAAGAAGTGAGACTCTGTCTCAAATAAATAATAAATAATAAATAAACAAATAAAGTGCAGTAAGGATTATGCTCACTATTAACAGATAAGTTTAAAGACAGAATTCAAATCCATGTCTGCTTGCTAACGTTCTGTTTTAACTACATATGGCCTCTTTTTGATTGATGATAATGAAGCCTATAGAAATCACAGCTGAATTTTGTAATTAAAGATTACTTGTCACTTGGCTTTTTATCTTTTCTTTGTTGGACGTTTCAGTCCGGCAGAGGGTTCTGGAGAGAAAGAATCACGAGTTAATATGGCCAGGAAAAGGAACTTTCCAGTTAACTCTCCAGTTGCCCACAGCCCCAGATAAAGTCCATGATGTTGTAGAAGAGAAAACTTTGACTGAGGTAGGTGAACTGAGGGGGCTGAAAAGGGGATTGGGGTGTTCTTTTAAGGTGTGTGAGATGGGAAACGCAAAGAGGAGAATATAGTGGAATGAGAAGTATGAATCAATCTGGGGTGAGAGAGGCAGTTTGTGGGTGTAGAGGGAACACGGGCAGTGGTAGGGTGTAGCAGGAATCAGACTGAAGACTCCAGGCACCAGTCGATTAGAGGAAGCGGCTTTATTTCGGCCAGGGGAAGTAGGAAGACCAGTGTGTCGCCAAA